GCTCGGGGTCCGTGGAGACGCCACTCTCCAAACACCTGCTTCCACAGGTGCCCCCTGCGGGGAACAGTAAGTTTACTTTTAGAACTTTTACTACAATGTAGATATACATATTTACAAAGTTACCATTTATTCCCAAATACAGTCGGCAGGCGTGCACCATCCCGCTTCGAATGTATGCTTTTCTTCCAAGAGTGCAATTGCAATATTCATACTTTTCCAAGTGTCTATCACGGCGGGTTACTTCGTTAAGTGCGCTTCTTACCGAGCACTGGTGTAATGCAGAGAAGCAACACCCGCGGAGCTTGCATCCGCAGGTATTGCTTCTCCGCTATGCACCAGTGCTCGGAAAGAAGCGCACTCAACGGGGCTAACCCATCGCAATCAACGCTTCGAAAAAAGCGAATAGTGCAGTTCTCTTCGAAGCGAATATCGATTAGTCTATTATTCGAAACTACTATTCGAAATTTCGACTTTTCGCACAAGCCTAATATATGCACATGAATTGTAAGTGATTAGTTGAAAGGCAAGGTACTCAAATTACTTAAGAAAACCACATCAGCGATTTCACATTCGGCAGTAAAACCACTAAATTAATATAAAAAGATGTCCATAAAACCTTCACTTCAAGAGAATTCATCAACTTATGCATTATACCAGAAGCAAACTTGTACTTCTCGAGGTGGTGTTGAAGGGTCCTTTCTGAAGGCAATGGCTGCCCAACATCCTTCACAAGGGTGTTCCCTTGAGATCCGCAGGCAAGACGAATCTTAAAGGGATACTGAACTGCAAAATCGGGTCGACGTTTTTGGTCTTAATCACAATAAAGGCACATCATTTAATTTTTACTGGCGCTGTTAAAGCGAAAATACGACTAAATTTTAATAAACTGGAAAATAAGCATTTTAAGGTGCCCCTGGTGAGCGTTTCCGGAACCTCGCTTCGTGACGTGACAGACCTCAGAAGCCTCGCGCAGCTGTCTTAGAAGACGCGGAGAATCATAACTTTGTTGGTTTGCTGTGACCTGTAATGCGTCTACCTCGCGCTCGGTGGCGTGGACGATTGTTATGGCGACAAGCGAGAGCGCCAAGAGCGGCAGCAGTAGCTATAGCGGGAGCACCTGCCAACGAAGAGGCGTAAGGTGTTGCCTTACGCCTGCGACCCGTCCGTGACGTCGGACAGCAATGAAACTTCACCGGAGCCAGCAGCGGAGTCCTCATCTGACGTTCTGCCTCAAAATGACAGCTGCGGCGGCTACGCAACACACGCTGGTCAGAACACGCGCACACGGCGCAGCGTATGTCTTGCATAGGCCCGGGAGAGCGATTGTTTTGGGGTTGCGCGAAGTTCACTTGCAGCCTCGAAGAACCAATGATAAATGGGGTTTTATATATTGTGAGGTGTACTAGCGACTAACATGCTCTTGGTATCGCCGAGCGGCGGCGAGTAAGCTCCAACCTCAACTTATCGGTCCCATCGCTTGGGCCAGAGAAAGATCCTTTTGCTCAAAACTGTCAGTGCTAAGGCAGGGCTACCCGTGCACCTGTCCCGCGTAGGTGCGTTAGAAATTCAAGATGCATCAGCTGCGTGCGGGCTCTAACCTGCACGTAGTGCCGGTACACCGTCCAAGTAATCACGTGCGTGTTTGCCCAATGCTGGGCCCCAGGTTGGGCGCTCAAGTTCTTGTGGCATAGGCAACACTGCTTTTTTGCGGCCCTCTATGCCTGGGTCAAAGCTTCCGGAATATGAATAAAGTATTACTATTATTATACGCAAAAATGCAGCTGCTGTATAGTGACTGCATCGCGGTTGTGGATACTCCCAAAAGGCATCCGAGGCTTGAGCAGTGTTTGGGTGACACAATTGGATTAACAAAAGAGACAAAGTGTGTGTAGCCACACCAGTGCCCACACAGCATTACAGAGATGTTGACATATGCACTAATTCATGTTTTCAACTTTGGGAAACAGGTGCTGCTGCAAATCCCGCTGTGGCAGCATGCCCACACCAGTGGAAAGTGTGTGCTGCAAAGAGCAGAACAAGGTCAAAGAGAAGGCTGGGAGCCTTCCCTGCATCACAATACATAGGCTCATTGAGCTATACTGTCTGAACCGGATGTCCTGGACCGCGAGCACAGGAAGCTGAGGGTTTGCCGGCCTCTCAGCACGAGAAACATCAAGCAGATAAATGCGTATGTACAGTAAAACTAAATCACTATACAGTCGCCAACCGTTTTTTTGGACTCCGATGATTTGGACTTGTTTTATATTTCGGACCTAAAGGCGGAACCGTGACTTACCCCATAGAAATAGTGTATATTCACGACCAATGTTTCAGACAGCTTCAAGTCCAAAAGTTTGATTATTCGGACAAAATCATCGCGAGCGATCAGCGTAAAACACCATCGAGAAGAGGCCATTTCGAATTCTATGTTGGCTGCCAATGGATTGGCTTGGTTTGCCAGCGCTACTTGAGCACTCCTGAGTCCTACCGCTAGGCGACGCTATGCTAGCCCTTTCTTTCCCATTTAGCTGCACGTCATCATCATCATTATTATCATTTTGCTTTGTTTTTCGTTCCTTCGCGTCGCCAGTCGCCATTTTGCGCTCGTGGATTTGCGCTGGCTTGGACGTCATGGCCCCATTTGTTCTTCTGCTACTCGACCATAACGCTAGAAATGAAGGCAGCGATTCTCAAGCTAACACAAAGTTGTCGAACGGAAACGGAGGCGCAACTTAAAACAAGGCACGCAGGCGTAACCTGAAACAAGGCACTATTTACGGCTTTTTAAAGCCCACTTGGAAGTAATAAAGGCGAGTTTTTCAGTCTGCTGATTTTTCGGACTGGTCTATTATTCGGACGTTTTTTCGGTCCCAGCGAAGTTCGAATAACCGGTCGCCGACTGTACCTTTTTACTATGAAATTCACCACTTTGTAAATAAAGTGAGGATGTAAAGCGAGATGTGCATTAGATGAACCGGAAAAGGCAGTGCCTCAATGTTGGCAATTGAAGTTTCCGACACAGGCAGGTTTTTATTGGTGGCCTGAAAAACATACCCAAAATTTAGAAGCAAACCATCCATTACATGCTTGCACGCTCGCATATGCATGTTCTAATGAAACTACAGCATGTGGCGTTTTGCTGCTGGCCATCGAACTAGTTCCAAGTGGATACCTGGCAGTGTAACTAAATAACTTCATTATGTTATCACTGCAGTAAGCACAGGTACACGGCGTACTGCCAATTCTTTTGGTGGGTGCACGGAAGGCTGGGAAAGGAGAACCGGGTAACCTTGCCCAGCTGCGTGGTGACGAGGCTGCACAAACAGTTCCCCGCCCCGAACCCTGCAGACTACACGGGCTTCAAGCAGTCATAATGCTGAGTAAGTTGGCATGCTATCCACCTTCAAATCTCTTAAATATGTATCTTTTCCTACCAAGCACTTGGGAGCAACAGTCGCTCCAACCTATTGTTGGCGCTGTACAAGTAATGAGGCCCAAAATATCTTTAAACCTTAAGATGTTCTGTCTGCCATGGCAAAGAGCATGATCTAGCATGAGAATGCTCGCACTCACTGCCAGAACAAATAGTCCAATTAAATTTTGGGCTTCATTTGTCAAGCTCCCTCCACAAATCAGTGAATTGCTTTTTCCGGTGTTTTGCAAAAAAAAAAAAAAGGAAAGATGTAGCTTTCAGGAGCAGTACGTAATTAACGTTCGAATAAAGAGATCAATATTTGACATACAACAAAGTCACTGTTTATTGCAAACTAACCAATTTTTTACTTTAAACGATCAGAGACCGAAGACGAGGAAATGGGCCAGAGACATTTTGAAAAGGGGCTCATGGCAAGGAGCTGGTGGCCGGGGAGCGCGGGGCCCGGGGCTCGTGCTCGGAACTGATCAGATTGACACGTCAGATCGAACTGCTTTGTTGCTTGCGCATAATGTAAATAAATGTTTGCTTCAACGTAACTAACGATGACTACCAGAAGTTCCTGCATTTAATGCTGAAACCCGAGACGTAACGAGTCAACAAAGGAAATCTGGTAGACCGAAGCAATACGAACGACAGAAGCAAGCAACATTCCATCGAGACAAGACTGAAAGATCATGGACATCCTCAAGAAGAAACGGAAGACCCTGCAAACGCAAGTAACGAAACTCCTCAGCGAGGCAAAAGAATTATTTCAGCTGACTCCGGCAGCCATTGATGATTTAGAGATTTTGATCGAGCGCATAAGCCTCTCTCGGGATCAACTCAGCCACGTAGATGCCACGATTGAGCTATTGAAACTAATAAGTCGTTGTAGCTGCAATATCGGGTGCAATAGTCAGCAACGAATGGTGCAGGAGGCTTTCGCTTTGCCTTACCTCACTTAAATCGCAAAGAATGAGCAATGACCTCGACGCATTCTTTAGATAGTCTTTCCATTCTGGCCATTCCTAAGCCTAAATGAACGCGATAATTGTCGGCATGGCAACGTCTTTGGAAAGCGGATTGCCTTGACTCAATCGGCCGGGTATTGATAGCACACAAAAGCAGACAGCGTCCCAATAGACCTTTCTCTTAATTACCCAAGCATCGAGGAGAACACTGAAAGTGTAATTCTATGGTCCACGAGCGCTGGCCTTCCTCTTATAAAAGATTCGAAGTAGATAATCATAAGGCTTTGACAAGCGTGCGTGCAAGGCAAAATCTGTTTTAGACTTTTTGCTTTAGAACAATTACTACTGCAGACGCCAGCACGTCTGCCCACATCTCATTGCGCAATGTGTGGCACTGCTAGTGGCCGGACCTGTTTGTAAACATGAGTTGGTGTATACTTCACAGCATCACTTGGTATGAAACACTAACATGACAACACTGTTAATATGCTGTGGTCTACTTGCCCTCAGGAAGCTGCTTTTTCTTCCCCAGGTCTCCGTGCTGGCACCTTGGATACAGGGTGTTGGCATGTTCGTGCAAGTTTAGCCGCGTGTCCCACCAGGAAAGTCCACTTTGGAAGGATCTCCTCCGGCGCTCCATTGCTCGATTCCGCACACCAATAAAGGTGCTTGACGATTGCCTCCACCCAGTCTTGGAGTCCCACAAGGGACTTGAGTTTTCCAGCTGAGACCAAGCGTTTCTTGATGCCTGAAAAATGAAGCATTGCATTCATTCTGCTAAGCACCAAGCTTAGATTGCCAGAAACCACAGCTTGACAAAATAAAGAGTTCATAATTATGAACACCAAAAACAAGAAAAACCCAATTCTGCCCCATTTTCTCAAGTATAAAAAAAAACATGGCAATATCTCACTCTAGGACACTTTCCTGTATTAAAGGCTCTTAGACGCTTCCGTCAAGTGTAAAGATTGTGCCCGCTGTCTTCCATGCTGAGAAAATAGTTAAGGGACGGAAGAAACATCAAAATTCAAGCATTTTGGGCTCCGGCAACATGCGTGCGCACGGCCTGGCAAGCGAGATTGTTTCTAAGCGCTCTGGGGACGCCACCTCGCTTCACCTCGCCCAACCTTGCCAACCGCGACCGGACCCTGAGGCCGAAAGGCTCTGGCGCAGCCAGGAACGGCATTGAGGTTGCAGCTCCTCCTTCTGTGCTACCATGCAGTGCTCAGAGTTATCGGCGTCGTTTGTCCTTGCACTGAAGCCTCTAGGGCCTCCTTCGGACGCGAGGGTCCTATTTCACAAGGCTTGGACCAGGGCCGCCCTCACCAAGCAGCTTCGCAACCTTCCGCTCACTTAGTTTGACAATAAAAGCTTGCGGTTCTTCTCTTGAGAAAATTGCGGGTGACCCCACGGGACTGCTCTCCGCCGCCACCGAGGATCACTACGTTCTCAGTTGTGCACTCGCTCCCACAGTGGGTGCCTTCCCATAATCCTCCCCGATCCAAATTGCAATGCAACCTCCATTTACATGGTTTGAATAAATGCCCATTCGCCCTCTCAATCCACCTCTGTCTAGGGACTTGAATGCGATGCGCTCCCCTAGAGTATTATTTTGTTTACATGACCGCATTGAATGCGACAACTGGATTCAAATCGACTAAGTCGCATTCATGTAAACGCAACTTATGTTTCAGCTTATACTGTACCGCAGCGAAAACTAGAAGCGCAAGCTCATGGCCTTGGCAGCTGCTTCTGCTGCACGAGAGCTTGTGCCGCCGAGCAGTTGCCACAGAGCAAGGAGCTCATGCTTGTAGCCTTTCCTGCAGTACAACATGCGCAGAAACAAACTATAGTGACAGGCAAGGGTAGGAGCGTTCCGCAATTAAATATTTTGTTTTTGCATAACCTGGAACCCCGATTACTTATGGCTCACCTTTTGCAACGTGCCGGCAGTCGAACATGTGCCGAATCTGGGGGTACCACTTGGCAAGGAATGACTTGATCATGGAGTGGCGATCAGTGATGATTCCTCCCACAGTCAATCCATTGGCTTCACAAATCACTAGAGTCCTTTTCAGGCCCTTGAGCTCCATTGCCCAGCTGCCCTTTGTTTCGTTGGACTGAAGCGACAAATAGAACATTGCATTATCACACCAAACATGAAGTATCCAGAACAAAGTCAACTAGACCTGTTGAATGAGACAATGCATGTCTGAAAAATGTTGTTTTCGCCATTCGTTTTCACTTAATTACAGAAAGGTTTCATTTCAGTGGAACAGAAGCATCAGAACATTTATAGCAGCGGAATTTACCTGCACTGTTTCCACATGGAGAACCTTGTTCGTTGACACGTCAACAACGGTGTACGTTCCATATTTCGCTGAGTGCCCGGGGGAGTCTGACCGCCCATCACCAGCAAGGACCAGTTCTCGTCCACTTGCTTGCTCAAAGAGCTCGTTTTGTTTCCTGTTCCACACCTGGAAGTCTATTTGCAAAGACTTTTCTAAACAAACATAAATCCTGGACATGTTTTTCATTTCACCTATAAGTATACTGCAAGCTTCTTTCGTTTATGTGAACTCCCATGGAAGTTGAGCATTTAAGTTTCAATCCCAGCTAATGCGATCAAAGCATTGACAAATTGTAATTTGTCTTTATATTCAAAATGAGGGGATGAAATGCTCCATGTCGTGGGTATAAATACTGAAGGCACATATGCACATTTAGGTAGATTGGCAAAACACTTTGTTTTTTCTATTATCCATGCATGGGAAAGTTGATGAATAGCTTTTGACACTTTCCGCATTGAAACTCAAGCAGCATAGTGTTGGACTTACTTAGGTCGCATAGACCCCTGCCTGTTCAGGTCTTGTTCCCCTCGTAGCATTCAACAAGCACAGTTTGGCTGCCGAGGAGCTGCCTTCTCAAGAGCGACCTTGAAGAAATGCCACTCGGTATAAAAATAGAGTACTGGCCAATTAATCTTTACAATCGAACTGGGGAACATCTATTGTTGCTTCTTTTACTTATTCCCCACATCAAAATCTGTCCTTTACGCTGCCCACTTCTCCAGTAGGTGCAGTCAGTCACAAAGCAGGAGAATAAGAACTGAAAACATTGCCTCCCCGTTCAGAAACCAAGGAGGCGACGGTTTCCCCACATGGAATGCGGCGAGTCTTCGAAGTATGTGCCCTGTATTACTTTGCACACACAGTTGGTACCTTTCCACCCTCGGAGTGTGGTCAAAATAGGTGCAGAGGACACATCTCAACTCTCCCTATTTACGATATTTTCCGGCATGTAAATTCTTTCCTCAAATTTCTCTCAGTGCATCTTACACAAAGGTGCGACTTACTTTTTTTTACAAGTATAAACCATAGCTGTGCAAGGCCGTATCAACAGTTACAACAAAGGGAAATCGGCAGAGCCCGTAGTTTGTATTGCATCGCACAGACCTAGATCCATTAGATGTAGCCTTCGGGTACTGCGGATCAGCTTTTCCTTACAATCGAAACCTTGGCAATATGCCGGCTTCCAGCAAAGCTTCCAGCCGGCCACATCAGAACACCTTTCCCACGGTAGTTCGCAAGAACATTGAAGCTAACTCTTACTTGTGCTTAGATTACAATATACATATGACAGCTCATCGATGCAGTTTTGCCTTGCGGTCCGTATAAAGATGTGCCACCTATAGACGTTTGCAAGTCCGCGGCCTCGGGGCGCTGCCACCTTGCTCAGTTGGGGTGCACTTGGGTACGCCAAATTGGATTATGATGCCTCACTAAGGTGTCGTAACCAGACTATGGCCACGCCCAAGCATACCCCAGCTCGGCAAGATGGTGGCACCCTGGGGCCGTACTTGCAAACATGTATATATCAACCTTTTTGTAAAAACAGCCGTTTATAGGAGTGTGTGACTTGTAGACAGAAACATATGGTGCTTCAAAGGATGTACTGCACCATTCAGGATCCCATAAGAGTGCTGAGCCTGAAATATTAGCACCTAAAATAAACCCCTTTCACAGGTACGGAAAAGCTTGAAACGTGCCATACCTGTCTGATTGCTGGTAGAAGGAAGGCACCCTGAATCTTGAAGTATGTCTCGTACGAGAAACAGGGCACGCCCATCTGGCGGAGGAGCCTCAGCACTTTTTTGACGATGCTCCCAGAGAAGAGTGTTGCTGCAGCTAGGAGCACATTGCCTAGGGCCCTCCTATTCACTGGTGGTTGGCTGGTCCAGGTGTGTTGGTGGCCATTGTTGCACATTCTGTGCACCCGGAGACACGTCCCTTTGAGCTTCTTCTCTGTGATGCGGCACAGTGCAGTGTACTCAGGTCAATTACCCAGTAGCTCGTCCAAACAAGACTCGAAAACAATAAACTTTCGTTCCGAGACGTAGTCGATGCTTTTGCTGCTCTCATGCTGACTGAGTGCGCTGTCACATGCGGTGTTCTGTTGTGCATCCCTGAAATAAAAAAAGAAAAAAGAAGCAACCTCTTACACACCCCCTCATACTCTTTACTAAAGATGACATATATTCGACTGATACCAACCTCAGAAAGCCGGTGCCGGACATCATCATGAGAAAGCTAGCGTCAGAGGGGAGCTCATTGTCTATTGTTGGCAGCTGTGGTGGGTCTGGTGGTAGAGCTGGTTGCCTGGGCTCTGGCGGCTGTGGCGACAGCGTCCGCCCTTCAGGCAACATCCAATCCAATGGAGCCTGGGGGACATGATTTGGTGAGGAGCATTGTGGTGTCACGAGGACAGGACTTGTTTGGGACTGTCGTGATGAAGTCTTCATGGTGACTTGTATGCCTGTGCCATCATAACGTGTTACAACGATCTAAACAATGCTGCCTTCTGAGAAATTTCTTTTTGCAGATACGTACATTGATTTCTGTAGATGCCCGAGGTCTGCGTAGCAGCGGTCCGAAGGTCAGGAGCCTGTTTGGCATTACTGATGGAGGGGGCTGTTCACAGCAGAGGAAATAAAGTGTGTTTCAAAACAAAATCACCCTTGGCTCATGCAGTCAGCAATACAGTGAAACCCGTTTATAACGAACAGCAGGAAACACTACGATCAGTTCGATATAGCAAGTAGTTCGATATAGCAAAACCCACTTACAAAACCGAGCTACGACTTTCCCGGCGATTAAATATGGATCTTTAAATCGCTGCAGCCACCCAGATCCAGCGGTGAAGCCCTCAACGTTCAGGAGGGGTGCAAAATCTCTTGCCTTGCTTTGCAACATTGGTCCGGAGACCAGCAGGTTCCGCGCACAAATGTCCAAAAACCATTGGTACAGCGCTTTTTCCACCTTGCCGTACGCCGGCTTGCGGATGCGCCTGCTGTCCGCATTTAGCCGTTCACGGGCCTTGTCTCGGATGGCAGACTTGTTTTTAAGAATTGTACTCAGCATACTTCTGGGGATCTTGTAGGCAGCGGCAACGTCTGATTTCTTTTCGCCGTGCTCCACACAACTGATGATGTCGACCTTGTCGGAAAGTGGCAGAGCCTGCCGCTGCTTCGTCGTCATTTCGGGCGCGAACTAGCTGGCCCGTACAGTGAACAGAAAGTGCATTGGGGACAAGAAAGACGACAACAAACAACGACTAAATTAACGAGAAGAAAGGAGGGAGGGGGAGAGAGAGAGAGCTTTGCCTGTGGTTGACGCTTTCAACGGCATGTGACAATGCTATGGAATCTGAAATGCGATAGGCTTATTGCTTCTTGGGGCGTGGTGTGTCAAGCCCCAAGTGAATGCGCAAGGTGAGGAGGGTCAAACTAGAGTTCCTTCAAGTTCTCTTCGGCGGGACATGAAGGCCCCCTAGGTCAAACTAAAGTGACTTTAGGTGAAACAAGGCGCGAAGGGAGAGGAGGCGAGAACTTCTTTTTCTTTCTCGTCTCTTCGCTTCCGCCTTGTAACAACGCGCTAGAAAGGTTTTTTTTTTTTTAGCTTACCTACGTTTTTTAATTGCTTTTCTTCGTAAGCAACCGCTTCGCACTTAAAAGATTTCTTTTTTTTTCTGTGCCCTTTGGAATCGCTTTTCTTCGCTTATTTTTGTTTGCAGCTCGAGCTTTTGGAATTTTTTTTCTTTCCTTCACTTTTTCGGGCGAAGGCATTGGCTGAAAGACGATCGTTTGCGCGTTTTTGGAAGCCTTCCCAGGGGGAAAAAGTTCGATATAGTCAATCTGTTGTCCGTTACAAAAAGTACTTTTCACATACATTTTGATTTAAATTTTTCGTGAGTTCGATATCGACAATAATTCGCTGTATGTGGGTTCGTTCTAAACGAGTTTCACTGTAGACTACAGATTACCCTAATTTGGCAGAATTAACTACTAAAATATGTAAGCTGAGTGGTTTCAATCGGCGCACATACCTGAGCTCGAAAAAGGTTTTTCGATGCCAGCACTTGCATCGTGCATTGGTTCATGTCCAGAGTCAGGACCTTGCTCTGTGTCGTCAGCAGAAGGGGTTGACGATGTGCTGACCTCTTCAGCGATGAGTGTGGCCGTCGCTTGTGCCGGTGCCTTCATTAATTCGTCAATTATCAATAAATAATAGGCATAAAAACTTACAACATGCAAAACAAACATGCACTGTCAATATGCTGCTAACACCCAGGTTTGGCTCAAATGAGGGTGACTGGCCCGAGCCCTTATCTTTGTTAGGCTCATGTCACTCTGTGTACCCTCCTCATCTGGACTTTACTTGAACTGGTAAGCAAATTGCACCGTCAAGTGCACAATCATGAACACTAAGATGGAACGGTCGAATGACGACCAAAGTTAATTAGTGGCCTCGAGCCGAGAAATTGAACAAGCACTTATAATAGCCTCATGATTGGGGTGCAACTGTCATAAATGGCCAGCTGGTGCTCCCAGTGAACTTTATAAATAAACACCATATTCCACGAGATTAAAACAAAGTAACTCAGCAAAAGATGTCACAGTGTTTATTTTTGTTATAAATTGGCACACATTTAGCAGCATCTATTTTTGGCACAAGAATCAATTTTTGCTGCAATTTAATTTCCTACACCACCAGGTTTTTAGGCCTTCTCGGCACTTGTCGTCTTGAAGCATTATTGCGAGCATGTATTCAATGCATGGGAAGAACATAGAGGAAACAAGATCTTATAGACCGACACACTGTTTCCCAACAAGCCTGCATTCGCCCACACCAGGGACTGCGCAGAAACCCAATTCAAGTGTCTGCGCCTGAACAGTGCCGTTAACAGCGCCACCGCAGCTGCGTGACATCAGGGCCGCCTGTTGGTCTACAGTCGAACCTCGTTATATCCAACAGTGCGAGAACCGCCAAATAATTCAATATAACCAAAATTCTATATACAAAATCACACCAAAAACGCGTCAAAGTGCATCGCGATTCAATCACTAACAAGCTTGCGGCAAGAACGACTACTCACGTGAAGCTTTAAGATTAACTATTTATTTCGGCGAAGAAAACTGCCGCAGCGTAGATTGCTTCTTGGAGTAGACCGCATGCCTTACTATGACCCGCTCCATGGTCTCCAAGTCCACAAGCACCTTACCACTACCGTTGGAATTGCGCTTCAGTAGCGGCGTAAAAGCATCAAAGCAGCCACAGTTTCACCCCAAGTCGGCCAAGTTTTGTGCTTGGTGGATGAACGCAAAGTCTTTTGCTTTCTGTTGAAGCATCGGCCCCAATATCGAAATGTTCCGAGCCCTTGTGTCCATGAACCACTCGTAAAGTAATCTTTCCACCTTTTCGAAAACCGGTGTCCGAACACGGTGTACGCCGGAGTGCTTGCTTCGTTCAGCCTTCGATTTGATGTCACTGTTTGTCTTCAGCAGCATGCTCAAATTTCTTCGCGGTATGTTGTACACTTCGGCAACGCTGGACTTCTTTTCTCCGTTTTCGACGTGGCAGATGATTTCAAGCTTCGTCGCAAACGTCAGCGGCGTACGTTTCTTTACGTCTGTTGCCATCAGTGCGCCATATGCGGTTGACGCAACTTCGGAGGAATGAACCCGGAGGAACAAAACTGCGGGATCTATGCACAGCGCATGAAAATAGCGATACTGGCGAAGCATGCTGGCAATACGATTGAGCTGATTGAGCTGACTGAGCGACTGAGCCTGTATGCCGCTGAGTGGCTAAGTCTGGATGGCGCTCCCGGCATCATAGGCATAAAACTTTACGCAGGCATGCGCTTGTAAAAGTCGCAAACGCCTGCTGCGCAACCGCTATCCTCCAATGTGTTGCGGGAAAGCCCGCCGTATCCTTTGATGTTGTGCCGGAAAGCCTGCCGCCTGTCTCCGGAGCGCACGCTTTCCGGCGCTGCGGAGTTCGATATATTAATTTTTTAACCGACTGAGTCTGTTATAAAAAATTTAAAATGCATGTAATTCGTATGACAGTTCGACAACGATTCGATATAAGCAATAAATCTATATATCCGTGTTCGATATAATGAGGTTTGACTGTATAACTAAGATATCGTCATAGTGATCAGAAATATAAACGAGGGGCGGAAACATTAATTGCAGGTTTAGGTTATAGTACACGCATATGTACATAACAAGGTTCTCATTAAAAAAAACTACAGCACTCTTTTTCATTTATTTTCCGCAATTGAGAGAAACGGCCTTCCAGGTTAACACTGAACAGATGAAGAGACGGCAGCTTGACCACCTCATCAGGAAGAGAGGACCAGTGAGGGAAACGAGTTTTCCAAAACAGAATGATGTATACACTCACATTTTTCTAAATGGCGTGGCACTCATACTGTGGGTATCCTATTCCGAAATTCAGCAGCATCTCCTTATTCGCCACAATGAGGAATAGCACATGCTCAAGATGCCGCGGAGTTTGCACATCCTGCTCAAGCTCGGAACATACCAGCTGCAAACCAAAAGGAAGTATGTAGATCATCAATTAACCACATTCTCCCAGGAATGGTTCAACTCGGTCCTACGTGCCATTTTCAGATAGCCCAAACCAATATTCGACATTTATTTGTTTATGCCAAATTTCTCAAATTAAAATTAGCTGGCATTTATCAGTAGTAATACCGATAAATACCAGCCTTCACAATTGAGCCAAAGGTGCCGGCGCAAGCTCGTAGCTTCAAAGCAAGTTTCTACCACATGAGCCCGCGTACCGAGTGCCATCGCCGCAGCTACTATACTCCGTTTCACCTTATGTTGTACCGCAACGAAGGCTAGAAGCGCGAGCTCACAGCGTAGGCAGCTGCCCTTCTTGCACGAGAGCTTGCGCCGCCGAGATGTGCCCTAAAGCAAGGAGCTCGCGATTTTAGCCTTTCCTGCGGTACATCATAAGGTGGAACAGAGTATAGCTGCAGTCTCGCCTTGTACACGGTACCGACAGTGGAGTACCTGCGATTGGCGGCCACCTTACGTACGGATAAGGGCACGAGAGCGAACACGAATGTTGTACACACTTACCCTGCGCGACGCTGTTAGCGAGAACACAATCTCGGCGTTTTTCCGCATTCGACCTCAAAGGCGAGTTAGTAGGCACGATACTTTACAGCTCAGGTGAGTGCCGCAAATGAGCACTTCCCACTTTACGTGACAGCAAAACAAAAGCAAAAAAATCAGCGTTCGCTTGCTCGCGCTAGCAGTTTTGCGCTATGTACTACGCTAATTCCACGACCACTCGCATTCGTGCTTTCCACTGGGAAAGAAGCAGAAAAATATTTCGGTAGCTGCGCTCACCTCTTTGCGTCGCCGTTTTTCCACAGCACCGCTGTGCCGCTCTCGCTTGCATTTTCGTGTGAAGAGCGATGGCACCATGCCAGGCTTCAAATAGGCCTGTTTTACAGGCAAGCCCAGACTCTGCAGTAACTTTGGGCTCGTCTTGTAGTCCTCGTCTTCGAAGTGTTCCATGCAAAGACAATCGCCTTTGGTGGGCTTCCATGTTGGCTGGGAAGGACGGGCCGCGCGAATCCACAGCTTGCGCAATGTGGGCTCACTCGGAAACTTGTGCGCAGGCCTGCTGCTGCAACATACGCTGTTTGAGCAGTCTCGTGCAGCGCAGTACCGCGGCATAACTATCGAAGAAACTCGATCCGAATGGATCGAGTTTCTTCGATCCCTCGATCACTCGACGCGGTTCTCCATTAGGACTGCAGCGGGACAAGCCAGGCTGCCAAGGAGCGAGAGGTCTGTGACGTCAGTTCCGCTCGGGCTCCTCCGCGGTGGCGTCAATCGTACCGGCGGCTTTCGGCCGACGGATTGCCCCATCGCGGCTTTTCAAAGAAATATAATAGTCCGATCCCTTGGTATGGTCTTGATTTTTAGGTATAGTAACGTCCGGGGCACCTCGTCCGGGGCTTATATTGAAAACTTCAGATATCGGTTCAGTATCCCTCTAAAGGGGCACTGACACATCAAAATATTTTTTTTTTATTATCCGAAACGATTGGAAACAATGCGGGAACATTATCCTCAAAATTCGAAATTTGGGAATTCAGTATTTGTGAAGTCAAAAAACAATTTCCAAATGCCGAATTCAAAGTTCCCGCGCGATCCGCGTCGGTGCGTTGACGTCAAATATTGCGGAGTCCTGAGAGTCCACTATCTTTCACAACTCCCTGCTGTTGCCATGGCGACCCAAAGCGAGGAGGAAAGGAGCAAGCGACGGCGGACCGGTTTTGAGCGGTGTCACCTGTTTTCCGTGGGAGGATACAAATCCAAGAGACGGCACCACCACGGACTTCGATTTTTGGTATTTCAAAAAGAAGGGCCGTAGTGCGTTTGCAATTGCGTTAAAAAACATGTTTTACGATTGCCGTTATTAAATGTTATAGAGATGTTGCCTACAAAGCTTCTAAATTTCATGATTCTTGACGTCACGAATCAAAAGAAGCGAGGAGGTGAGAGGCGGGAGAATCAAACACCAAAAATAAAAAGGCATGCGCGGGAAAATTTTTTTTTGCGATGGTATGACTGCAACTTGCATCGTTTTAGACAATAAAAAAAGATACGACCTTTGGGGTGTCAGTGCCCCTTTAAGGGCTTTCTAGAGAGTGTCGGTACTCCATGCGGTACTTTTCATGGTAGTTTTTTTCAGGCACTGGATTCGTCACCAGGGTAGTTCTGCAGTCCAGCTGTGAGGATTTCACTGTGGAGAGGTGTTTCGTTCCACTGCCTCTAAGCTGAAGTTAGTCTCCTTTGCAGGTCTTCAATCTGGTTTAAGTTGAGAAACTTTTGTTGCAGACAGAAGAGCAGGGAGTCAGATACGATCTCAGATATCTGACTGATTAGCTTATTACTAAGGTTAGGCATCAGCTCTAGCAGCCATGGACTGCTTTTGAGTACAGAATAAGCCGGAGTACTCACCAGTGTCCAGGCACGGGGGCGGCAACTGGCCAGATGTCAAAGGCAGGGCATCAGCGTGGCAGCCTGCAGTTAAAGAACACATGAAGTGTCAGCACTTTAACAGCCATGAACTGCTTTCGAGTTTCGAATACGGTGAGCAAGTTAGCCAAATTTGGTTTACTGTGCACGTGAAAGGGGGCAAAAAGGAGGGAGAGGAGGTTGACATTTTGCGCTAAGCTCCACCCCGGCACAGTCCAGAAGTGGTTTGAAGTAAGCAACATCTCGGCATCTCTAATGCCGGCCTCGCTGAAGTGGCGTTCATTGTCTCGGTATCGCTCTTTTTGGTCGCGCTGGGAACTTCCCGAATTAAAAGAGCGAGCAATTTTGTGCCGAGTGCCCTCCTCAATCGAAGGCACTAGAAATGTGCTTTGCTTTTGGATGCTGTGCGTGCTTGTACGATTGACAGCATCCCGCTGTAAAAATTCCTGAAGGACGCAGTAAAGTTCGTTGCTTCTCTACTATGGAGGAAGGCCAGCTTCTTTCCACGTAGCTCGGCGATGCTGACCGAAGGATCAAGGAGACGACGTTCAAAGTTGAAGTAGGAAATGTATTTACAGGTCATTACAAATAGTTTACAGCATGGTGCGTGCACAGCACGGAATCTCGTCGTTCGACACTCTCCAGTTACAGTCGAGCTTTCCCCATTCTGCTTCGTCTCCCATTTTTGTCTCCTCATGAGACAAACCATGGCAGGTTAACACAATCACTCTCCCCTCTCCGCCGTCACTTCACCAATCGTGTTTCGATTTAACTTTCCCAACTCCGCCCAAGAAACGCACAATGCCCTCTGCCTTGTCATTTTACCAATCGTGTTTCGATGTCACTTTCCCAAATTCCGCCCAAGTAACGCACAATGTCCTCTCCCTCGGCATGGCAAGGTCACCCACCCGGTTCCAGATGACTTTAGCCGAACACTGGACGGTATTCGGCCCTCTCTACCTCCTTTCAGCAGGCACTTCAGAAAGGTCCGCATTTCGGGAACCCGAGGCGCCGGTCCGATTAGTGGCGTCGCCGTAGACGACAATTAACGCACAATGCCCTCTCCCTCGTCATGGCAGGGTCACAAAGTTCCCCTGGATTTCCCCGATCGCTGGACGGACGAGCGTCGACATTGTATACCTCCCTTTAGCCGGCACCTTTAAGAAGGTCCGCGTTTCGGGGACCCGAGGCGCCGAGCCGATTAGTGGCATCCCCAACTTCCCCTGCTTTTGCCCCGCGAAACATACTTAGGAGGGCTGAGAATTGCATCCCAGGGTCGGCCAAAAGTCAGCGGCCTTACAGACGCCAATCTCTGAAAGAAGTGAATCCGGCTAATAAACAGGGATAATTCAAAAGCTTCCATTTCCTCCATTGTCTGCTCGAGACATTTCGAATATGATGAGATTAATGAGATTAAGCCGACAAAAAGGCCTCTTTAAAAGAGGAGAACTTGGCCAATGTTGCCAATCAGGGGAATGGCTGCTACCAGCCACAAAAAACAGTCCGCCGATCATGGAAGTATATTCCATTTGTTGACCTTATCTTACTTTTAAAGATATAACCGACTCTACTCCCTATCAGGTTCATTTAATCCTTTGGTGGTGAAAAGCAAAATTCAAGGTTGATCATGATTAGCCGAACCGCCCTAACATTCCGCGAAGAAATTTAGCCTTCAATTCCAAATTTCAGACTCGGAAGCCACCTTTTGAAACTATACCTGTCCACTCTGGTCCAGACCTAACACGAGCCTCTCAATCTGCACGGATTTCATCTTGAACATAACAATTTGTGTGATCAAAACAACTTGCGTAGAAACACGAGATCGGCAGCGCGAAGCAACTACTCCTGCGGTACTCATTGCTCATGGCCTCACATTTTCTGCGAACAACGCTTTCCATACTTCATTGATTTCCGCAGAACAAATTCAGGTTCCATACGTTTTGAACGCCCCTCGTATGCATCAGCACTAGCTGCCAAGAAGCGCTTTGGAGCCGGAGTACTCACCGGTGTCCAGGCACGTGGTTGGGGACAGACAGACGTCGTCGAAGCCTAGCCGTCAGCACGCCAGGCTGCGTTTACAGAACACATTAGGTAAAGTGTCACCACTAGGCGCCATGAAGTGCTCTGGAAAAAAGGATGAGCCCGAGCACTCACAAGCGGCTAGGCACAGGGTTGGGTTGCTCGACAACCATTATGACAGATTCACAGATGGAACCTGTCATAATGGTTGTCGTCGGCTTTCCTTACAACTGCTAGGAAGCACTTTGCTGGCAAGGCGTGCGCTGCTTTAGATCTCTCTGCGGGGTTGCACAAAGTTTTCGTTTCTACTTCTTTTCTCGGGTTCCTACAGGTGCGTAAAACAAATTTTTTTATCAATGCGCATTCGACATTTGGCTGCCAAAAACTTTCTGCAAGACGTTTTCGTTTCACAGCTGGAACCTGTCATTAAAGTTGTCATCGGCTGTCTTTACAGCTCCTCTGAAGCGCAATACAGTCAAGGCGTGTGCCACTTTAGATCTCTCTGTGGGGTTGCACAAAGTTTTCGTTTGTACTTCTTTTCTCGGGTTCCTACCAGTGCGTAAAACAAATTTTTTGACCTGTGCGGCTTAAACATTTGGCTGGAAAAACTTTCTGCAAGACGTTTTCGTTTCACAGCTGGAACCTGTCATAAAGGTTATCATCGGATGTCTTTACAACTGCTCGGAAGCGCTTTGCTGTCAAGGCGTGCGCCACATAAGATCTCTCTGTGGGGTTGCACAAAGTTTTCGTTTGTAACTTCTTTTCTCGGGTTCCTACCGGTACGTAAAACAATTTGTTTTATCTATGCAGGTTCCATTTGGCTGCCAAAAACTATCCGCAAGACATTTTCGTTTCACAGCTGGAACCTCTCATTAAAGTTGTCATCGGATGTCTTTACAACTCCTCTGAAGCGCTATACTGTCAAGGCATGTGCCACTTTAGATCTCTCTGTGCGGTTGCACAAAGTTTTCGTTTGTACTTCTTTTCTTGGGTTCCTACCGGTGCGTAAAACAAATTTTTTTGATCTGTGCGGCTTAAACATTTGGCTGGCAAAAACTTTCTGCAAGACGTTTTCGTTTCACAGCTGGAACCTCTCATTAAGGTTGTCATCGGCAGTCTTTACAACTGCTAAGAAGCGATTTGCTGTCAAGGCGTGTGCCACATCAGATCCCTCCGTGTGGTTGCACAAAGTTTTCGTTTGTTACTTCTTTTCTCGGGTTCCTACCGGTGCGTAAAACAAATTTTTCGATCTGTGCGGCTTCAACATTTGGCTCGGAAAAACTTTCTACAAGACGTTTTAGTTTCACAGCTGGAACCTGTCATTAAGGTTGTCATTAATTGGCTGTCTTTACAACTGCTCGGAAGCGCTTTGCTGTCAAAGCGTGTGCCACATCAGATCCGTCCGTGGGGTTGCACAAACTTTTCGTTTGTACTTCTTTTCTCGGGTTCCTATTGGTGCGTAAAACAAATTTTTTGATCTGTGCGCCTTCAACATTTGGCTGGCAAAAACTTTCTGCAAGACGTTTTAGTTACACAGCTGGAACCTGTCATTAAGGTTGTCATTCGCTGTCTATACAACTGCTCGGAAGCGCTTTGCTGTCAAGGCGTGTGCCACATCAGATCCCTCCGTGGGGCTGCACAAACTTTTCGTTTGTACTTCTTTTCTCGGGTTCCTACTGGTGCGTAAAACAAATTTTTTTATCTGTGCGGCTTCAACATTTGGCTCGGAAAAAACTTTCTACAAGACGTTTTCTTTTCACAGCTGGAACCTGTCATTAAGGTTGTCATTCGCCGTCTTTACAACTGCTCGGAAGCGCTTTGCTGTCAAGGCGTGTGCCACATCAGATCCCTCCGTGGGGTTG